TACTTTCTTTAGAAGTCCCTAGTATAGAAGTGTAGAAGTCCTTATAGTAACTATAAGATATTCCATATAAAAACCACAATAACCATAAAGAAAGTACCTATAGGCCAGACTCAGTGGCTCAGTCTGTAATCCCAGCACTTTGGGAGGCCAAGGCAAGTGGATTGCCTGAGCCCGCGGGTTCAAGGCCCACCCAGGCAACTTGGCAAGACCTGTCTCTACAATAAATCAAAAATTAGCGCGTGCCTGTAGTTCCAGCTACTTGGAAGGCTGAGGAGAAAGGATCACTGGAGCCCAGCAGGTCGAGGCTGTGGTGGTCGGGAGCATGCCACTGCACTCCAGTCTGGGTGACAGAGTGAGACTCCAACTCAAAAAAAAAGAAAAAAAAAAAAAAAGAAAGTACCTATAGAATTTATAAGAGAAAAAGAGAAAGGATTCAAAGCACATCAGTACAAAAAATCAGCAAAACACAAAGGAAGAGCAGAAGGATGGACAAAAGAACTACAGGACTAACAGAAAACAATGTACACAAATGGCAGTAGTAAATACTTCCTTATCAGTACTTGCTTTAAATGCCAATGGATTAAATTCTCCAGTCTAAATAAATAGACCAAATGATTTAAAAAAAAAAATGATATACTATCTGTTGTCTATAAAAAACTCACTTTAGATTTAAGGACACATATGGGTTGAAAGTGAAGTGATGGAAAAAGATATTCCATGCAGATGGTAGCCAAAAAAGAACGGGGTGACTATATCTATATCAGACAATATAGACTTTAAGTCAAAATTGTCACAAGAGACCAAGAAGGATATTATATAATGATAAAAGGGCCAATTCACTAGGAAGATATAGCAATTACATATGTATATATGTACAATTACAACTATGTAAATATATGTCATCGTAGTATATATGTATAGATAAACCAACACAAGAGTATCTAAATATATAAACAAACATTGATAGGCCTGAAGGGAGGACTGGAATACAATGACAGTAGGAGACCTTAGTATTTCACTTCAGTCATGGATGGAATATCCAAGTAGAAGACCAATAAGGAAAGAGAGAATTTGAACAACACATAGGCCAGCAGGACTTAACAGCCATGTATAGAACATTTCCCAACAGAAGAATATACTTTCTCCTCAAGCTCACATAGAACATTCTCTGGATTAGGTCACGTTAGGTCACAAAAAAAGTCTTAACAAATTTAAGACTGAATTCATACCAAGTGTATTATCTAACCACAATGGACTGAAACTAGAAATCAGTAACAAAGAAAACTGGAAAATTTGCAAGTATGTGGATATTAAACAACATGCTCTTGAACAACCAATGAGTAAAAGAATAAATCAAAATAAAAATTAGGAAATATCTTGGGACAAATGAAAACAAAAATGCAGCATACCAAAGTTTCTGGGAAGCAGCAAAAGCTGTATTAAGAAGAGTTTTAGAGAGAAATGCATATATTTAAAAAGAAAGAGCTCAGACAGCCTAACTTTATACCTCAAGGAGCTAGAGGAAGAAAACCAAACTAAAACCAAAATTAGCAGAAGGAAAGAAGTAACAGAGATCAGAGCATAAATAACCAAAATAGAGAAGATAAAAACAATAGAAAAATAAAATTGAAATTTGGTTTTTATGAAAAGATAAAATTTACAAACTTTTAGCTGGATTTACTAAGAAAAAATGAGAGAAGATTTACATAAGTAATATTAGAAATAAACGAGATCTGTGTTCCCACATGACTGCAACTAGATAGAGCTGACTGGAACTGAAGCAGTCATCACCTCTTCCTATGGACTTTCTCCTGACCTGCTTGTGTGTTTAGATTCCTTGCCTGGTCTCAGACTATCGCTTGGATTTGCTCTCTTGACTCATTCTTTCTGTATCGGCCTTCTCTTGCTTTCATTTCTTTTTCTGATTAGCTGGTTTATGGCTACAGCTATTCTTATGACATGGCCCTTTACTGGTATTACTCACTTGTCCTCTACAATCGATCTGGCAAATGCCAAATCTTGTATCAGACCAACTAGTCACCTTATCTACAATTAGTTTGCTTAACACTGCAGGGCAAGTAAAAAGGTCACCAAGTCTGTTTTTTCACCCCTGTTTGGACCTCAGTGTTGCCTGACAAACCTCCTACATTTACCGAGTCAGTTTCTCTCCTATTTTCCTCAGTGGCCCTTTCAAACTGTTCTGCTCCCTCAGCCTCCCCCCTACCACCTTTGTCCTGTCAATCGACTTGTCATTTTGTTCACCAGGGATAGGCAAAGGAGTGTGGAAGACATCAACTAAGACCTCCTTCGATTTCTGTCACTATGCTTAAAAAATGTGTATCTTTATTGGCCTCTAAGATTTCCTGTTTCCTTCTTTGCTGTAAAAGATAGATGTTCCTACTTTTAAAACAAAAACTTCCCTCTGTACTCTGAATCCCTTTTTTCTCTTTCTCGGAGGCCTTATTCTTTCCCCGATATTTCCTGTCTTTAAATCAACGCATTTAAATACAGCATTTAACGTAATTAAGTTAGTACCATTGAAAAAAATTTGGAGACCCCCAAAAAACTGGAGTTATTTTTTGGAAGGTGGACCCCTTGTAGTACAAGCATCTCCCACTAGGTAAGTGTTCTAGGAACCCATTGGCATCAGCATACCAACTAGTGTTGGGAGAGGCTGTGTTCAGCTTCTGTGAATGTTTTTTGGAGGTTCTTTCAACACATTGCCCATTTCATGATGGCTGATTTATGAGTGAACCTGTCCACGTCACGCTGAGTGTTCAGCAGTTTTTGACCAAAAACAGCATGATCTCTGTGTTCCATCCTCCCTATTCCCCCAATCTCACCCAGAGCGACTTTTTTGTTGTTTCCCTGGATGAAAGAAGTCCTCAAAGGGAAACGTTTTGCCCATGCGGAAGAGGTGAAACAAAAAACAGCAGAACCACCAAAAGGCATCCAAATCGACAAGTTCAAGAACTGATTTGAGCAGTGGAAAAAGTGTCTTGATAGGTGTATTGCATCAAATGGAGAATACTTTAAAGGTGACTAAAGTTTGAACATGTAAGAATAAATGCACACTTTTTAATAAATAAATTCCGGTTTTGGGGGTCCCCCCTCATACAGACCTGCTGCATGTCCCTCTAGCTGCCTTATATTTTAATTTTTTTGAGTTGGAATCTCACCTGTTGCCCAGGCTGGAGTGCAGTGGCATGCTCACAGCCACCACAGCCTCTACCTATTGGACTCCGGCGATTCTTCCACCTCAGCCTTCCAAGTAGCTGGAACTACAGGTGCATGCTACCATGCTGGCTAATTTTTAATTTATTGTAGAGACGAGGTCTCGCCAAGTTTCCCAGGCTGGTCTTGAACCTGCAGGCTCAGGCAATCCACTTGCCTCCCAAAGTGCTGGGATTACAGATTGAGCCACCTAGCCTGGCCAGCCTTATCTTTTTATCTGTCTTCACAACAGTTTTCTAACAACTACATTCTGGCCTTGCCCCTCCACTCAATGGAAGTTCTGTCACTGAGCCCACCTCCCTATTTCTTAGTTCAGTGGACATGGATATTTTCTAGATCCTACCCCCTCTCTTTTTTGAAATGTTCCCCTCATCTGTTTTCCTTGGTAGGCATTCTTCTGATTTTTTCTTCCCACCTCTCCAGCCTGTCTCCCCTCTTTCTCAGTCTGCCTTATAGCTTAGTTTTCTTCTATGTTGACCCTCACTGTCTACGTTTTTTTTGGAGGAAATTCTAGTTACTATCTATCCCAGGTTGAGTGACTAAATATAGGCTGATTGATAGTCTGTAGGTCACACCTTTCTTTTGCATGTACAAGTATTTATTGAATATCACTTGAGATACCACAAACACAAATTGTACAAACTACTCAGCATCCTTCCCCCAAACCTTCTTTTCCTTTGTCATTGGATGGTCCTGCCACCTACCTAGAAACTTCAACATTATTCTTAGGTCTTGCACTTTCCTTTACCCTCTTTCTATGCCAACATATAATCTGTGGTTCTTAGAATATGTAATGTCTTTGAATATACTATTTCCTTTGCCTAGAACATTCCCTAAGAGCTGACCCTACTTCTACAGGGTGATAGTATAGTGGTAAGGACATGAAGGTAGCCTCTGAGGTCAGAATACCTGGATTCAGGTTGAGGCTTTGCTGCTTCTAAGTTACTTTATCTAGAAAATATTCCCTGACAGTTCCGCTCATCCCCCCTCCACAAAAAAATAAAACTCACATTCTGTTAAATGCCTCTGTAGGGTTTTCTTTAAACATCTTTGTTTGTTCTCCTTGCTCTTGCAAACATTACTCTGTATTATGATTGCTTGTTTCTTTCCCATTTCTTTTACTACCTTGTAATCTCCTCAAGGGCAGAAATTAACTTCTGCACCAAGGCACATTGCCTCAACATTTAGAAAAGATGAGTGTAGTCTTAGCAAAAGCATATGTGATTACTGAAAGTGAATTGTAAAACTCATTGGAGTGTGGTCTTCTTAAAAGAAATCTGATTGACATTGGAAGAAAAAGTCAATGCAAATAATGAAGTTAATCAAAGAATAAAAGATGTTAATCTTGAATGCTGACTTAGGTTTAAGTGATTAAAAGAGATTGAGAGAATATGAAATGAAGCAAGGGAAAATTATTAAGCGTTTATTCTTGGTTATGGCAGACACTATGGTAGATGACTAGGACATGATCCCTGCACTCAGGGCTTACATTTTTCACAGAAAATATTGTCTAAATGGCTTGAGATTTTAAATTAATGATTATTCTTGTTGACTGGAAATTGATTTTACATTAATGTGTATGTGAATGTGTTATTAAAAGTTATTTGGTCTTGTACATTTGCTAAGAAAATTGTCAATCTTCAATAACAGGAGGTGAACCATGAAAAAAATATTTGAATTGTTGGTCCTTGTAAAAAGTTACCGTTTTAATTTATCAGTTGCTTATGCTTTCTTTATTATCTAGTTTTTTTTTTTCCATTTATCAGATAATTGACATAGGAGAGAGCATAGCCATTCCAGATGAGTTTACTGAACAGGAAAAGCAGTCTGGCGAGTGGTGGAAGCGCTTGGTGGCAGCCAGCATAGCCAGTGCAGTCGCTCGGACGTGCACGGCGCCCTTTGACCGCTTGAAGGTTATGATGCAGGTAGTCCGCACGCTTCTCGTACCCCATAGAAGATGCAGTTACTTGTAATGTCCTTGGCAGGACTAAACAATTTTGTTACCATTTTGGCACATTTCATACTACTTCTTATTAGAGTTTTACGTTTTTCTGAAAATGTTAATTCTCTTATTTTCAATATTAAAAGATTTCTTAATCTTCTTAAAGATGTTACTATGAATTCAAATTAATTTTAATTGAAATAATAATAGAACCACTCTGTCTGAAGTTTTTTTCAGAAATATAACTAAATTGAAGACAGAAGTGAGAAGACATCATTAGTCTCTTTATTGGTTTTCTCTAACCCCTGGCACCAACATAATAGCTTGGTTCTATGCGACCACATAAATACTAAGAATATTTCTAAGAGGTAGAAAATAAGGTACTTAGAGTTTGTTATTATATCTTGTCTAATTATCTTTATTTCAGTGAATAACGGATAGTCAACAGTAGCTATCAAACAGTACATGGCTTAGTCTGTTAAGTATCATAATTAAAATCCACAATTAAAATATATATTTGCTAAATACTTTCTCTGCAAGGTACCAAATTAATCCACAGTCTAGTGAATTTCAGTGTGTAGTTAAGTGTCTTATTATCTTTTTTTTGTGGCAATATTGGTAACATTTTGGTAATGGATTATGAAGTTTTTGTTATACAGTATGAATTAATTGTGTAAAAACTTTAATGTTACATATTTAAGAACCATTTATTTATACTTCTGTCTTATTTTTAAAAAATTTGATTCATCTTAATCAAGAACTAAATTTATGTAGATGTGTCATTTTTGGAAAATAAAGGCCATTAGAAGGATAGCTTTTAGGGGAGAAAAGGCTTCCTTCTACATATGCTTATTAGAGTCAGTTACATGCTAGATAATTTAATAGGTATTTGGGGCTGTAGCAGTATGGCAGACATAGTTTTTGTCCTTAGAGAATTGGTAATCTACCTGGGAACACAGATAATTAGGCAAGTAATACTCAAATGTGATATAAATGCTATATTCCCAGACGGAGAATGTACATAGTACTGTGGGAACACCAAGGGGGAGTAAGTACCATTTCCCCTCTGTCTGTTATTTCTCACACGGATATATGGTGGTATCTTGGATAATGCACCCAGTGGAAATAAAGACTTTAATCCAACAGGTTAAGTGCAGGAAACACACTTTGAGTGGCATTCGATGCTAACAACCCCCATCTTTCTGTGTGACCTACATTTTGTTCAGTCAGTTGACTAGATTCAGTCAGGTGTTAGGAAAGAGCAGGTGCTGAAAACCTTCTTTTCCAGGTAGAAATAGTAAAATTTAGCCTCCTCAGTAACTGGCTTGTCAGAAAAGTAAAAATGAGTTCTAAAGGGAAAAGATACAGGCACTTCATAGGGCTCACTTTGGGGCGATCAGTGCTACCACCCGGATGAGAAAGATGGGAGAGGAACCAAGAGGAAAAATAAAGACCATGCATTTGCTGTGTGCCCAGTGTATGCTGTTTTGGAAAAATAGACATTGTGTATTTATTCTTAAATGTTTAAACTTCAGTCGCCTTCAAAGTACTCTCCGTTTGATGCAGTACATCTATCAAGATGCCTTTTCCACTGCTCAAAACAGCTTTTGAACTCGACCATTTTAATGCCTTTTAGTGTTTCTGCCGTTTTTGTTTTGCCTGTTGGGAGGCTGAAAAGGAAGGATGACTTGGGAAAAATGTTTCCCTTTGAGGACTTTTCATCCAGGGAAACAAAAATAGTCACTTGGGGGTAAGATCGGGTGAATTAGGGCACGGAGTCATGCTGTTTTTGATCAAACACTATTGAACACTCAGTGTAGCATGGGCAGGTATATTGTCATGGTGGGAGAACCACTCACCTGTTTGCCACAACTTGGGACCCTTTTTTTCTGCAAATTGTGATGCAACCTTTCAAAGTTTCCAGATAAAAACTTTGGTTGACTATTTGATCTAGAAGAACAAATAAATTCTGAGTGTACTACAAAGGGCCCTCCCTCAAAAGAAAAAAGATAATTCCTTTTTTTTTTTTTAGGTCACCTCCCATATATGAGAATTGTAAGGACATAGGAAAAGCATGGTCAGTTCTCCAAGGGTACAAAAATGGGTCAGAAGGACCCACTAGAGACAGAGAAAAAGTTTGGGGCAAATAGGGTAATATGGAAAGAAAAAAGAGAATAAGGGAGCTGGACAGAGAGAGGCGAAGGAGGAGTACTGGAGATAGAAAGAAAAGGAAAGGAAAATAGAGAGAATGTGGGAAAAAAGAGGAGGGAAGATGATAGGTGAAAAATTAGTTACCAGGTGAGAAGAGCGATATAATGAGAGGCAAGAGAAAGAGAGGAGGGGAGTCAGGGAGGAGAGATGGAGAGAGGGAGATGGGAGAGGAGGAAGGGGTCTGCCTTACACGCTGTTCTGGATTGAGCCTCATGGTTTTTTAAATATATATATTTGACATTGAACTGGGTTCATTAGAACTTGCCCTCTGTTGATGGAGGTGTTGCTGTGTGAGCTTCACACAACTGGAAAGGAATTGTGAGAAATAAGGATGGACATATGTGTTATGGTCAGAGGTTTAATGTAGTTTTAATGCAGGGACTTGACAGTCAAAGAGCCCTGGGTTTGAGATTTACTTGATAACTGTGGGCAAGTTATTTGATCACTCCATGTTGGGTTTGTAAAATGGAGATCATAATACCAGAGTTATTTTAAAAATTAATTATGATTTTTAAAAGTGCTTAGCATAATGCCTGTACACAGTGCTAAAAAAAGATGACTGTCTTTTTTGTAAAGAGTACCATATGTTCTCACTCATAAGCGAACCTTGAACAATTATAATACTATAAGAAAGCTTTTGGCAGTAATGGGAAACTGCTAGGGGAGGGAGGGGCATACCTCACTAACAAGGGTGCCTGCATAATCAATGTTTGTTGCCAGAGTCCGGCTCCAGTGGATCTGGGTCTCCTGAAAGAAGGACGGCGTCTGCGCAGGAGAGAAAACTTGGACACTGACTCTGCTGCAAGCAGGACAAATGCTGATTTATTGTCTTTTCCAACTCCTTTCATACCCTACATGTTTTTTTGTTTCCAAGGCAATCAGTTACAATTTAATGGACCGGATAGGCAATGTATCTTTGTTCATCCTGTTTTGATCTTAAAACATTATCATCCTAAACATTAACTATAAATTTTATAAACTTCTAACATTTCTTAATGATTACCATTTCTTAATGTCCATACAAAAGTTACTTATTCCTATAACTATTACATTATAAATCACTACCAAGTTCTAAGCACTATAGTTATCACACAGATTAACAAGTCATACCTGTGACCTTCACACAGCAATTTGGAACTAGCTGGGGTAAAACAACATTTTCAAGGTTTCTTAGCCACAAGTTGGCCTGACTAGTTTGCCCTAATTTCACACCTGGTGTTTACAATCTGCATTAATTATTTCCTGCCAGGGAGAATGAGCTTTAATGGTTGTAAAACAAAAGGCCTCTTGGGCTCAAGTCACCAGAATTACAAGCCTCCTTAACAAAGGGAAGTAAAGGCAAGGGTGCTCTAATATTTATGTGATTGTTAATTTTTTAAGCATAATACACCACATGTAGAAATTAAGAAATTAAATGTAATTTTTGCATTGGCACTCTTCCTAAAAATACAAACTGTAGCTTCTCAAATTTCTCCAATTAGTTGCCAGTCAGAAGAAATAAAATCTTACAAGTGATTATCTACCTGCACATGATATTTAAAATCTCTATTGATAATTTCCTGGCAAGGCCAGTGAGTTCCCTGACAAACATTAAATCGAGCACTTTCTGATTTTTTACAATTTTCCCAACTACAATGTTTAATCAAGTGATTGTATGGTTTAATACCAGGAGGCTGGGGACGTGTAAACCTAGGGAGGAATTCAAATGAAGGGAAGGTAATTTTTCATGAATTCTCCTCTTGCCTTTTTGCAAAGGGTAGTGGAGGCGTGAGTGGAATTTTGCTTTCCATCCTCAGACTGTACAGAACTTTTCAGCTGCACCAATAACAAAAGTAGAAGAAGAAAGGGTCTCAGCTGCCTGGGTTCGCTTTGCGACCTGGGGTCTTCAGGCCCCTGGACTTTGTCAGTAGGCAGGCCTCCATGGCTGGCTCCCAACAGTTTGTATACTTAACACTGAATTGTACCCCACATCTTTATAATTAAAAAACATTTTTAAATGAAAAAAAAAACATGCTAAAAAAAAAAGAAATAAGATGAATAAATAACACTGTTAACACTGCAAAGCCACATAGGAAGTTTTTGTAGTTATTTGTTTGAGCTTTTAAAATTTGTATTATTATATTATTATTGTTATTTTTGAGACAGGGTCTCACTCTCTTGCCCGGGTTGGAGTGCAGTGATGCCATCCTAGCTCATTGCAGCCTCAAACTTCTGGGTACAAGCCATCCTTCCACTTCAGCCTCCCAAGTAGATTGGACTACAGGTGTGAGCCACTGCATCTTACTCAAAAACTGTGCTTTTAAAGTGAAGTGAATATATATGCCTACTAAGAAAAGCCTGGAAAATGGAAAAGTAGAAAATAGAAAAGTTATTTCTTTTCTCACACCTGAAATTACCATTATTAGCACTTTAGTGCATTATCCTCGTTTTTTGCCCAGGCTGGAGTGTAGTGGCAGACTCACAGCGACCCCAGTGTCGACCTGCTGGGCTTAGGCGATCCTTCCACCTCAGCCTTCCAAGTAGCCTGAACTATAGGTGCCCAGCTAATTTTTTATTTTATTTTATTGTTGAGATGATGTCTCACCAAGTTGCCTGGGCTGATCTCAAACCAGAGGGTTCAGGCAATCCACTTGCCTCAGCCTCCCAAAGTGCTGGGATTACAGGCTGAGCCACCAAGCCTGGCCATTCTCTTGTCTTTTAAAATTTTTTTATTTTTAATTTTTTTTGAGTTGGAGTCTCACTCTGTCGCCCAGACTGGAGTGCAGGGGCCGCTCCTGGCCACCGCAACCTCGACCTGCTGGCCTCCGGCGATCCTTCCGCCTCAGCCTTCCAAGTAGCCAGAATTACAGGCATGCGCTACCACGCCCGGCTGATTTTTTGATTTATTGTAGAGATGAGGTCTTGCTGCCCAGGCGGGTCTCAAACTCGCGGGCTCAGGCAATCCACTCATCTCAGCCTCCCAAAGGCGCGGGATCACAGGCTGAGCCACCGAGCCTGACTTCTTTTTTTAAAAAAACATTTTTTACAGGATAGTGATTAGTTTTAAGAATAATTTTTATTCTTTTTTTTTGTTTTTGTGATGAACAGTGTAACATGAGCATGTTTTCAGGTTACTTCATGTTCTTCAAATACAGTTTTTAGTGAGTATGCAGTATTTCCAGTGGATATGTACTAATTTTTAAAATCATTTTTCCTATTTTTAGACATGTAGGTCATTTTAATCCCTCTTTTTATGCAGTTCATCATTTTGTGATGAACACCATTTTCTGTGAAACTTTTTTAACATTTAAGATTATTTGTTTAGAAAATTTCCTAGTTTAAATAATGACATTTTTAAAGCTGTATGTGTGTTGCCTTTCAGATTTGTTCTATCCACAGGAGATGGAAATGCCCATTTTGCCTTGCTCTCCCATTATTTTTATCTTATCTTATAGACTGGAAGACTTTTACTTTCACTTTCTTAAAAATAACATTTTCCTTATTATTATATTAGAAAATGGAAACATACAGAAAAGCATAAAGGAAGATATTTAAAAAATGACCCACAATCTTCATGTATTAGTTTGCTAGGTATGCTATAACAAAGCACCACAAACTGACTGGCTTAAGTAACGGAAATGTATCATCTCACAATTCTGGATGCTAGGTGTTGGCAGGGTTGGTTTCTTAGAGGGCTTCGAGGAAGAGTCTGTTCCCAGTCTCTCTCTTTGACTTGGAGATGGCAAGCTGTGTCTCTTCACACTGTTTTCCCTCTGTGTGTGCTGCATCTCTGTCCATTACCCTTTTTATAAGGATGCCAGTTAGGTTAATCCAGGGCCCACCCTGATGACCTCATTTTATCTTCATTAGCTCTAGAAAGACCCTATCTTCAAATTAAGTTCTGAGAAAGTGAGAGGTCTTCAACATGTGAATTTGGGGGGAGCATTTTCAACCCATAACATGTTGCTTCTCAGGAGAATCCCCTTTGAAACTGTGATGTATTTTCATCCACCCTTTTTTAGTATATATTTTAATGTACCCTTTGATGACATTGTACGTAATATTTTGTAACATCCACACATCTTGTTTATGCTGAAATTCTGTGGTAGTTACTTCTGTTGTCCTTAGGTTATTCTTTTTTTCTTTGATGTATTAGATTGATTAAAATATGTATTTAGGGACAAAAAATAATATTCAATTGTGTGTGTCTTTGAAGGAAAATTGAAATGATTTTCAGATCATAAATTTATGCATATATATTTATTATTATTAGCAATAACAATGCCAGCAGAATGAATTTAAAAATAAATGCATTTGCTGTTCATTTCCAGGTTCATAGCTTGAAGTCAAGGAAAATGAGATTAATTAGTGGCTTTGAACAGATGCTAAAGGAAGGAGGAATTCTTTCTCTTTGGCGAGGAAATGGTGTAAACGTTTTAAAAATTGCGCCAGAGACAGCACTCAAGGTTGGGGCCTATGAGCAGGTAAATTGTTATGGTCTGTGGAATTGTATTTTATTTTTATCTATATTTTTAAAAGTAAATTGTTTTTAAACAACTGGATTTCAGTATTACCTCTAAAAGGAAAATTTATTTGGCTTATTTTTTACAATTTTATTTTGTTTTATTTTATTTATTTTTATTTTTTTGAGTTGGAGTCTCACTCCATCACCTAGGCTGGAGTGCAGTGGCATGCTCATGACCACCCCAGTGTCGACCTGCTGGGCTAAGGCGATCCTTCCACCTCTGCCTTCCAAGTAGCCGGAACTACAGATGCATGCTACCATGCCTGGCTAATTTTTCGATTTATTGTAGAGATGAGGTCTTGCCTTGTTGCCCAGGCTGGTTCTGAACCCTTGGGCTCAGGCAATCCCTTCACCTCGGCCTCCCAAAATGCTTGAGCCACTGAACCTGGCCATTTTTTACAATTTTAGGTTCAAGGGATACATGTGCAGGTTTGCTGCCTGGGTATATTGCACACTGGTGAGATGTGGGCTTCTCAAATGGTGAGCATGGTACCCAGTGGGTAGTTTCAACCCTTGCCCCTGCCCCCTCCCTTTAAGAGTCCTTAGTATCTGCTGTTCACATCTTTTTGCCCGTGTGTACCCAGCATGTAGCTCCCATTCAATAAGTGAGGACATCAGGTATTTGTTTTTCTGCTTCTGTGTTAATTTGCTTAGAATAATGGCCTCCAGCTGCATCCATACTGCTGCAAATGAAATGATTTTATTCTTCTGTATGGCCACATAGTACTCCATGGTATATATATACCACATTTTCTTTATCCAGTCCACCATTGAAGGGCATCTGGGTTGGATCCATGTTTTTGCTATTGTGAATAGTGCTGTGATAAACATATGAGTGCAGGTGTCTTTTTAGTAAAATGATGTGTGCTCCTTTGGATATATATCAATTCCATTGCTGGGTTGAATCGTAAATCTATTTTTAGTTCTTGGGGGACTCTACAAACTGTTTTCCACAGAGGCTGCACTAGCTTACATTTCCACCACCAGTGTATGTGTTCCTTTTTCTCCACAACCTTGCCAGCATCTGTTTTTTGACATAATAGTAGCCATTCTGACTGGTGTGAGATGGTAGCTCATTGTGGTTTCTCTGATGATTAGTAATTTTGAGTATTTTTTGATATATTTGTTTGTCGGTGACCAGCACTGACCAAGGCTGGGTTAGGACATGCACCAGAGAATCTGGACGGCGAGAAGAGACCACTCGGAGGCAGTTCTTCTGGGAACAGTTTGATCAGGACTGAAGCCAAATTTTATTCGGACTCCTTCCAACTTATATACCATTTTCTATACCCTCCAACAGTGTGATAATCACTTACTAGGGGCGTACAAGTTCCGTGCTTTACAAACTATGCATCACAAGACCACCACAAGATCTGCAATTTCCAAGCAAACAATTCGAATTCCATGATGCCTGCCGTGCTTACATTAAGGTCACAGGTACACAATTTCAATACAAATCGTTCAAAGTGTTTTCCATAATGTTCAATGAATCATTCATATTATACTCTTTGTTCTATACCCTGATTAATACAAAAAACTTTTCTAAGTTAACTCTAGGTTCAATTCAAGTTCACTGACTCCCAATATTTTTAACGATTAATATTATCAACTTAACACTATACTATAATCTATAAGTTTAGTTAAATGACTTAACTGTCAGTTATACTATTAACCTATTATGATTTAACATAATGCCTTATAACTCAGTTAAAACTTATTCTTAAACTACAAAACTTTGCTATAATTCATATGTTTCATCTGTCTAAACTTTAATTTTTATATGATCTAGTGATTGGACTTTAATACTATGCTATATCCTATTAAGCTAATACCTCATCATTAATTCTTTTATAAATCGTATAGTAACTATTATATTTGAATAATGTAGCAAAAGGAAACAAAACAGCAAGCGTAAATTTACACAACTATGAGTGTATGTGTATATATTTTATTCTAACAAGTCTACTCTAAAAATCAAATAGTAGCTGTCACACTCTTGAACAAGGAAATGCATGGCCGCCATGATGGCTGTGGGCTGAAGCAGACAGAGTTTCAGTAATTAATGAAACAAAAGAAAACGTTCTGCCTGGCTAGGGGCAGGGCAACAAAACTATCATGGTAATTTAGTTTCTAATCTTAGCCGTAGGGGAAACAACTTTCCAAAGCTGACTAACCAGTCTACCAGGAAATAGAAGTTAAAAAATATCTAGAAAGAAGTAAAACTTAGAAAGACAGAGAGAAATAATTCTGCTATGCACTTTCCATCAGGTGTATTGAGATTTACTTATAAGTTTTACTGCCATGTATGCACACTGGTCACTAATCACACGCCAATATTATAGGTATAACTGATATCCTATGTCAGAGGCGATCTTCCAGATGGGCCTTTACAGGCCTCAGCCATGTAGCTATAGATGTTGGCTCCCAACATTTGTTGACTTTGTATCTTCTTTTTTTATGTAACTAAATTTATTTATTTATTTTTATTTTATTTTATTTTTATTTTAATCAATTTTTTAATGATATTGTGGGGTACAGTTAAGGGTTAGGTATACAAATATGCTCCGTTCAGGCACCCTTGTTGATAAGAGGTGTCTCCCCATGACTTTGTATCTTCTTTTGAGAAGTGTCTGTTTGTGTCCTTTGCTCACTCTTTAATAAAGTTATTTGTGTTTTTTCTGTTGATTTATTTAAGTTCCTTTATAGATTCTGGATATTAGTCCTTTGTGGGATGCATAGTTTGCAGATATTTTCTCTTATTCTGTAGGTTGTCTATTTACTCTGTTGATAGTTTATTTTGCTGTGTAGAGCTCTTTTGTTTTTTTGTCAATTTTTGTTTTTGCTGTATTTGCTTTTGAGTACGTGGTCATAAATTCTTTGCTTAGACTGAAGTTCAGAAGAGTGTTTCCTAGACTTTCTTCCAGGATTTTTATAGTTTGAGGTTTCATATTTAAGTCTTTAGTCCATCTTTAGTCAATTTGTATATGGTGAAAGGAAGGGGTCCGACATCATTCTTTTGCATGTGGTTAGCCAGGTTCTCCAGCACCATTTGTTGAATAGAATATCCTTTCACCAATGTTTATTTTTGTGAATTGTCAAAGATCAGTTGATTGTAGCTTTATGTCTGGGTTCTCTGTTCTGTTCTCTTGGTCTATTTGCGCATTTTTGTACCAATACCATGCTGTTTTGGTTACTGTAGCCCCATAGTAAAGTTTGAAGTCCACTAATGTGATGTTATGTCTCTGACTTTGTTCTTTTTGCTTAGGGCTGCTTTGACTATTCAGACTCTTTTTTGTTTGTTTGTTTCCATGTTAAGTATTGATTTTCCTAATCTGTGAAGAATGACACTGGTAGTTTTATATAGACTGTATTGAACCTGCAGATTGCTTTGGGCAATGTGGACATTTTGACAATTTTGATTCTTTTAATCCATGGGCATGGAATGTTTTTCCATTTGTCTCTGTCATCTTTGATTTCTTTCAGCAGTATTTTGTACTTGTTGTGGAGATTTTTCACCTCCTTGGCTTGATGTAGTCCCAGGTATTTTATTTTTGTTTTTGTGGCTATTGTAATGGGATTGTGTTCTTGAATTGGTTCTCCTCTTGAACATTGTTGGTGTCCATAAATGCTGCTGATTTTTGAATGTTGATTTGTGTCCTGAAACTTTACTGAAGTCATGTGTTGGGAGCCAACATCTATAGCTACATGGTTGAGGCCTGTAAAGGCCCATCTGGAAGATCGCCTCTGACATAGGACATCAGTTATACCTATAATATTGGCGTGTGATTAGTGACCAGTGTGCATACATGGCAGTAAAACTTATAAGTAAATCTCAATACACCTGATGGAAAGTGCATAGCAGAATTATTTCTCTCTGTCTTTCTAAGTTTTACTTCTTTCTAGATATTTTTTAACTTCTATTTCCTGGTAGACTGGGTAGTCAGCTTTGGAAAGCTGTTTCCCCTAGGGCTAAGATTAGAAACTAAATTACTGTGATAGTTTTGTTGCCCTGCCCCTAGCCAGGCAGAACGTTTTCTTTTGTTTCGTTAATTACCGAAACTCTGTCTGCTTCAGCCCATGGCCGCCATCTTGGCAGCCCTGCATTTCCTTGTTCAAGAGTGTGACAGCTACTATTTGATTTTTAGAGTAGACTTGTTAGGATAAAATATATACATATACACTCATAGTTGCGTAAATTTACGCTTGCTGTTTTGTTTCCTTTTGCTACATTATTCAAATATAATAGTTACTATACGATTTATAAAAGAATTAATGATGAGGTATTAGCTTAATAGGATATAGCATAGTATTAAAGTCCAATCACTAGAACATATAAAAATTAAAGTTTAGACATATGAAACATATGAATTATAGTAAAGTTTGGTAGTTTAAGAATAAGTTTTAACTGAGTTATAAGGTATTATGTTAAATCGTAATAGGATAATAGTATAACTAACAGCTAAGTCATTTAAGTAAACTTATAGATTATAGTATAGTGTTAAGTTGATAATATTAATCGTTAAAAATATTAGGAGTCAGTGAACTTGGATTGAACCTAGAGTTAACTTAGAAAAGTTTTTTGTATTAATCAGGGTATAGAACAAAGAGTATAATATGAATGATTCATTGAACATTATGGAAAACACTTTGAACGATTTGTATTGAAATTGTGCACCTGTGATCTTAATGTAAGCACGACAGGCATCATGGAATTCGAATTGTTTGCTTGGAAATTGCAGATCTCGTGGTGGTCTTGTGATGTATAGTTTGTAAAGCACGGAACTTGTATGCCCCCAGTGAGTGATTATCATACTGCTGGAGGGTATAGAAAATGGTATATAAGTTGGAAGGAGTCCAAATAAAATTTGGCTTCAGTCCTGATCAGACTGTTCCCAGAAGAACTGCCTCCGAGTGGTCTCTTCTCGCCGTCCAGATTCTCTGGTGCGGGTCCTAACCCACTCTTGGTCAGTGCTGGTCACCGACAGTCATGCATGCTTCTTAGGCCTACAAGTCTTTTGGTGGAGTCTGAGGGTTTTCTGGATCTAGAATCATATCATCTGCAAAGAGGGGTAATTTAACTTCCTTTTTTCCTATTTGGATACCTTATGTTTCTTTCTCTTGCCTGATCGTTCTGGACTTCCAGAACTGTTAAATAGGAGTGGTGAGAGTGGACATCCTTGTCTTGTTTCAGTTCTTAGGGGGGATTCTTCCAACTTCTCCCATTCGATATGATGTTGACTGTGGGTTTGTCATAGATGACTCTTACTAGTTTGAGGTGTGTTCTTTTGATATCTAGATGGTTGAAGGTTTTTATCATGTAGTGATGTTAGATTTTAATTGAATGCTTTTTCTGCGTGTTGAGATGATCATGTGGTTTTTGTTTTTAAATCTGTTTATGTAGTGGATTGCATGTACTAATTTGCATGTATTGAATACTTGAGAGAGGTGTTATTTGAAGCCATGAGACTGCCTAAGAATAAAGTAGTGTTATAAAAAAGTGCTGAGAAGAAAACGTTTGATAAGACCTTCATTTAGGGAGCCAGAGGAGAAAAAAATACCAGTGGAGCAGACAGCGAAGACTGACTTGGGTGAGAGGAGAGTGCACTGCCTGGAGAAGGCAGAGGGTCTGAAAAGTGGGGTTGGCTGCCTGGTCTTGCAGAGGAGTCCGTAAAGCCTAAAACTTCCTCCAGACCATGCAGAGCGGCCCCTTCAGGATTGACCATTTCCTAGTCAGGACAGAGTTCACCACTTTTTGTATTGGCTGTTCTGGAGAGCCATTTCTCCAAGCCCCCTTAAAGTAAGTAATGGAAATGAAGAGGACAGGAGGGAGACTCCAGCATGAGAATTCCACTGGGCCTAGGAATAGTGATCATACACAGCCTGCTGGAGCAACTCTTGTCCTTATGCTTGATGAGCACAAGATAAGCACAAGTCATGTCAAATTGCAGGTTTTGGGTCTCACTGTTAACAGTAGTTACCAGACTATGCATTTTAAACATAGGTATAATGGTTTTTTCATACAGGTTCTTCACTTTGACATGATCATATACCTTTTTTACCTTTACAAAAGGCCTCTTCACATTAAGTTCACTATTTCTGTATCTAGTTACCAAACAATATTAAGTGCCTTCCACATAAGACATGGTGCTAAAAAGAGATAAAAGATGGCTGGGCTTGGTGGTTCAGCCTGTAATCCCAGCACTTTGGGAGGCCGAGGCGAGTGGATTGCCTGTGCCTGCGGGTTCGAGACCCGCACGGGCAACTTGGCGAAACCTCGTCTTTACAATAAATCCAAAATTAGCCGGGCGTGGTAGCACGCGCCTGTAGTTCCGGCGACTTGGAAGGCTGAGGTGGAGGGATCACCGGAGCCCAACAGGTCAAGGCTGCAGTGGCCGGGAGCATGCCACTGCACTCCAGTCTGGGCGACAAAGTGAGAGTCCAACTTAAAAAACAACAACAACCAAAAAAACGAGATAAAAGATAGTCTCTGTTCCCTTTGTGTCATAGCATGCCTCTTATGAAATAACACATTCATGCATATTCTTAAGTGAGTTAATGTTGCTAACTTATTCTGCAGGGGAAAAAAGGAAAAGGGAGGCTACATGAGGGGCTTTACTTATCTTAGATAATTAATTGCATAGAAATTAAAGTCAAGAATTCTACTAGGTTGTGCTAATACTGTGTTTCTGGTATACTTAAAACTTTGTACTACTGATTGATACTGTATCATAGAAACAATCTATATCCTGTTTCAGTAATATTATACATTTGAATACTTTTATTTATACAGTATAAGAAATGGCTTAGTTTTGATGGCGTTCATTTAGGAATTCCTGAAAGATTTATATCTGGTTCAATGGCTGGTGCAACTGCCCAGACCTGTATTTACCCCATGGAGGTATGTATTATTGTAAAATTTTAAATTATTCATGCTTTTAGTGTAAATTGTAACTTTGATAAATGAATCCCAGATCAGTATTTTGTACAATAAGCACCTTCACAGCTACAGGATTGAAATCTTAAATCAAGTGTCAGTTAACCTCAATAGATTTTATTTGTTATTATTGTTTAGGGCAAAGGTGGCATTGTACATGAACCAAGAAGACAAATAATCTTGTTGATTGATTAATATAATCATCTATTCATTAATTGGGCAAATTTATATATTGCACACTTCCTGAGTTTAAGTCATTTTGCTTGGTGCTATGCAGGATCCAGAGATAAGGCAGACAGGGGTTTCGTTATGTAGTTTGTAGTCTAGAAGGGGAAATGAAACATGTACATTAAGAATAATAATCTAAAATAAAAGCATCTGGAAAAGTGATGAATATAAAGTGCTATCAAAATTCAGGGAGAGAGAAATTACTTCAAGATAGGGATTTCATAAAGACAGGAATAGCATGTGTGAGTTTGGCATAGAATTTGGACATGCAGAGATTATAAGGAAGGGCATTTTAGGTGGAAATCATGCCTAAGCAAAGGAATGGAGTTAAAAATAAAGTAGGCATTTAGGTTTGGATGGAACAGTAGCACAGGTGAAAGGGCTGGGGCCAGATGGGAAAGACATTTGCAAGCAGCTTAAGGAATTTAATTTTAATTCCTTAAAAAGTAAGAAGGCACTAAAGATGTTGGAGTCTGAAACATGGTTTTAGTAATGTTTAGAGTGAGAGAGACTAGAGGAATGGGAAGACTAGATACAAGATCTTGTCATCATTGAGAGAATTAACAAAACATGTTTGAAATATGACAGTGATTAGTGGAAATGAACTCAAGCAAGCGGTATCTTGAGAACTGTTAGCTTGAAAAGCAGAAAGCAGGGAAAGGGAGAGAAGACGAGGCTGTCTGGTGTTCACGCCTGAGTGGTCAGGAGAGTTGCTTCTGAGCTGCATCTCCAGCCGGGGAGCGATCTTGACTTAGGGAGATGATGACTTCAGATCTGCATGTGTGTCATTTGAGTTGTTGGTGGCACAGCTGGGGCTTGACTTTCAGCTGGCAGTTTCAAGTGTCGTGTGTCACCTGAGAGAGGTATTGTTTGAAGCCATGAGATTACCTAAGAAAAAAGTAGTAGTATAAAAAAATGCTGAGAAGAAAACATTTGACAAGACCTTGATTTAGGGAGTAGGAGGCGAAACATATGCTAGTGGAGCAGACAGCAAAGACTGACTTGGGTGAGAGGAGAGTGCACTGTCTGGAGAAGGCAGAGGGTCTCAAAAGTGGGGTTGCCTGCCTGGTCTTGCAGAGGAGTTTATAAAGCACAAGGCTTCCTCTTGACCACGCAGAGCGGCCCCTTCAGGACGGACCGTTTCCCAGTCAGAACAGAGTTCACCATTGTTTGTATTGGCTATTTTGGAGAGCTACTTCCCCAAGCACCTTTAAAGGAAGTAATGGAAATTAAGACGACAGAAGGGAGACAACACGAGAATTCCACTGAGCCTAGGAATAGTGATCATACACAGCCTGCTAGAGTGACTCTTGTTCTCATAGCTTCTGTGATCTCAATACTTCATGAGCACAGAATGATCCCAAGTCAAACTGCAGTTTTGGGACCTCACTGTTAGCAGCAGTTACCAGGACATGCATCCTACTAGTTCTTCCCTTTAACATGATCATATACTTTTTTTTACCTTGAATTTTGTTGGTTTGTTTTATTCTGAAGCAATAATGTTACCTCGAATGAATTTATCTCAGAACATGTTGCCTTTCTGCAGCATTAGTTTAAGTGGATGTATCACTCAAAGGAATAAATTAATTTGATTTTCCTGTTTTGTTATTTATTATTATTATTGTTTTTGTTGTTGTTACTATTATTATTTTGAGTCTGGTTCTCATTCTGTTGCCCAGGCTGGAGTGCAGTGGCATGATCATGGCTCAGTGCAGCCTCAACCTCCTGGGATCAGCTGATCCTTCTGCCTCGGCCTCCTGAGTAGCTGGGAACTATAGGTTTAAGCTGTCACACCTGGCTAATTTTTTTATTTTTTGTAGTGATGAGGGCTTGTTGTGTTGCCTAGGCTGGTCTCGAACTCCTGCCTTGGCCTCCCAAAGTGCTGAGATTACAGATGTGAGCCACTGCTCCTGGCCTGTTTTCCTTTTTAAATAATTAACAAAACAAAACAAAACAAAAAACCCTCTGCATTGTATCAGGTGTTTATAATTAAGAGCCAGTTATTGAGAAGTTACAATTATGTTTATGATTACTTTTTACATTTCTATGATAATTTGTAAGCATTGTGAGATATTACAGTGCTACTGGATTTCTAGATGAATTGGGTGAATCTGATCATATGTCTTTATTGTATTCTTTCACATGTAGGTACTAAAGACCAGACTGGCTGTAGGGGAAACTGGAGAGTATTCAGGGATTATCGACTGTGGCAAGAAACTTCTGAAACAAGAAGGTGTCAAAGTCTTTTTCAAAGGTTACATTCCTAACTTGCTGGGCATTGCACCTTACACAGGCATAGATCTTGCTGTTTTTGAGGTGAGTTTATTTTCTGTGTGTAACATTATTCTTGAAAATATGGCACAACAGTTTTTATTCTAAAAACATGATTACAAATTACTTTTTATGAAATAGCTTCTGACCAAGAGAGACTTGAATGATTTTAGTTGACTTTTCATTTTATATAGTAGACATCTGGCTTTATAATAATAATTTTTTGTTTAGTGTTTGTAAATTCATTTTCAGTAATAATGATTATAGACTTAAATTCTAATAAAACAGTGGCTCTTCAACCTGGAATGCATATCAGAATCACCACTATGTGGATCTTAATAAAAAAGGATTCTTGAACCACATCCTGCAATATTCTGATTTAATCATTCTGAGGGGGAGGTCTGGGATATGGGCTTTTTGACTGCCCAGAAGAATCTGATGTACAGGTGAGTACCAGAGTCCAGCTCCAGCGGGTTAGGGTTTCCTGAAAGAAGGATGGCATCAGTACAGGAGAAAAAACTTCGACACTGACTCTGCTGTAAGCAGGACAAATGCCGATTTATTGTCTTTTCCAACTCCTTTTATACCCTACATGTTTTTTGTTTTCAAGGCAATCAGTTACAGTTTAATGGACCGGACAGGCAATGTATCTTTGTTCATCCTGTTTTGATCTTAAAACATTATCATTCTAAACTATAAATTTTATAAACTTCTAACGTTTTTTAGTGATTACCATTTCTTAATGTCCATACAAAACTTACTTATTCCTATAACTATTACGTTATAAATCACTACCAAGTTCTAAGCACTATAATTATCACGTAGATTAACAAGTCACACCTGTGACCTTTACACAGCAATTTGCAACTAGCTGGGATAAAGCAACATTTTCAAGGTTTCTTAGCTGCAAATTGGCCTGACTAGTTTGCTCTAACTTCACACCTGGTGTTTACAATCTGCGTTACTTATTTCCTCCAGGAAGAATGAGCTTTAATGTTTGTAAAATAAAAGGCCTCTTGGGCTCAAGTCACCAGAATTACAAGCCTCCTTAACAAAGGGAAGTAAAGGCAAGCGTGCTCTAATATTTATGTGATTGTTAATTTTTTAATCATAATACACCACATGTAGGAATTAAGTAAATGTAATTTTTGCATTAGCACTCTTCCTAAAAATACAAACTGTAGCTTCTCAAATTTCTCCAATTAGTCGCCAATCAGAAGAAATAAAATCTTGCAAGTAATTATCTACCTGCACTGATATTTAAAATCTCTATAGATAATTTCCTGGCAAGGCCAATGAGTTCCCTGACAAACATTAAATTGAGCACTTTCTGATAACAAAAGTAGAAGAAGCAAGGGTCTCAGCTGCCCAGGTTCACTTTGCGACCCGGGGTCTTCAGCCCCCTGGACTTTGTCAGCAGGAAGGCCTCCATGGCTGGCTCCCGACAGGTGAGCTTAAGAATACTGAGATAGTCTTGCCCAGCTGTGAAAATGCAAATGGAGGAGAGGAGCTGCTGGGTTGGGGAAGAAAGGCAGTGTGGAGACAGGGCAGAACCCTGGCGGTGTCGTGCGGCGCAGGCAGGAGTCCTGGTGAACTCCTCCCGCCAGTAAGTCCACTGTGGGTGTACTTACTATATACCATCAACATGTAGTTGATGACCACACGTCTATTTCAGGAAGACCATCTTAGCAATACAGCTATTTGCTCCTAAGAACCAGGAGAGTGTGTATGGTTAGAATGAATTCATTCCCAGTTATAGGAAGGACAGCTCTCCAGGTGCAGGCTGAGAGGTATTTTTTTTTTTTTGAGTTGGAGTCTCACTCTGTCGCCCAGGCTGCAGTGCAGTGGCACGCTCATGGCCACCTCCGTGCCAACCTGGCTGGGCTCAGGCCGTTTTTCTGCCTCAGCCTTTCAAGTAGTCGGAACCACAGGAATGTGGTGCCACAACTGGCTCATTTTTGATTTTTTGTAGAGATGAGGTCTCGCCAAGTTGCCCAGGCTGTTCTCAAACCTGTGGGCTCAGGCAGTTCTCTCACCTTGGCCTCCTAAAGTGCTGGGATTACATGCTTGAGCCACCACGCCTGGCCCCGAGCAGTATTTTTAGCAGGTAGTGCCACCATCATGTGAAAGATAGTTTCATTCAGCTGTTTTCTTTTCCTTTCCCCCTCCCTCCCTCCCTCCTTCCCTCCCTCTCTCCTTCCCTCCCTCTCTTCCTTCCTTTGATTAGAGTCAAGGTCTCTTGCTGAATGCAAGGGCAGGATCATGGCTCACCATAGTCTCAACCTCCTGGACTCAGGCGATCCTTCAGCCTCAGCCTCCCAAGTAGCTGTGACTTCAGGTGTGCTACCGTGCCTGGCTAATTTTTAAAAAATATTTTGTAGAGGCGAGATATCAATATGTTGAGGCTGGTCTTGAACTCCTGGGCTCAAGCAGTCCTCCCACCTCAGCCTCCCAAAGTGCTGGAATGACAGGTGCCATTTATGTTGTGCTCTCTCCATTTCTTTGTTCCTGCAGTTCAGTGTCTTTTGCTTTCATACCAGAGTGCCAGTGCTCATTTCTCTTTTTATTGTTACATGACCATAATAAGTGTACACAGGGTAAAGGCATTTTGGAACTTATCTTTTCAAAAGTATCACATTATATATCTTGTAGGAATCATCCCAGTACATAATGGTGAAGTTGCTGTTCTTTAATAAATGAGCAGTTCTAAAAGCACTTAGTGAGATTTTAAACTTACTACCACTTTTTATGTATTTTTATTTTATTTTAAACCATTTTTATTCAAGGAAAGGCAAATGCAGGAAGATGAGGCTTTCCAAAGGTGAAGAGAACATGACTTGTTCACCTGGAGTGGGTTGTGCGTCTCCTCTAGAACCGTCTCTTAATCCCTGTCGGAACCTCCAGATTTGTGCTTGGGTCTGACTATCATTGCAAACCAAAACACAAAGCAAGGCAAAACAAAACAAAAATAAAATAAACAAAACACATGCAGAGACACACACATAGGAGAACTCAAATGGAGGTTGTGTGAATATGTTTCTTTGAAAACATCTATGTTCCTGTCCTGACTAGACTGCATGGAAAACTTTGCTTCACCAACGCTGTGCTCTCCTTAGAACTGCATCAGAGTAGAGTTCTCTTTCTACTGCATAGTCATATGCTTGCTACTCTCTTCTCTGCCAGCTTCTGAAGAATTATTGGCTAGAACATTACACAGGAAACTCTGTAAACCCTGGGATCATGATTTTGCTGGGATGTAGTACATTGTCTCATACTTGTGGTCAGCTAGCCAGCTTCCCTCTGAACCTTATTAGAACTCGCATGCAGGCCGAAGGTGAGTTTTTTTTTTTAAATGAATTGATAATAGCTGAGTTTAAAAGTATGTTTTAAATGAGTATACATATTAATGATTTCAAAAATAGAAAGACCTGTAGAATTGATAAATCAGAAGCTACCTCTCTGATTTTTAAAGCAAGAACCTTGGATTTATTATTTTATTGACAATAGTCTTTTGTGCATTTTAGATTTTATTTCCTCTCAGAGTTCTGTTTGAATCTCTCCACGTTTTCTTCAGTTGCTGATGATCTCGTTAAGGAGTTTACAATTAGAAAATACCATGCAGAACAGTAGGAAAGGTTTTGCTTTCTTCAGATGGAACCCATAGGTGCTCCTTGTGGACATGTATTTTCCCCCAGTTCTGATGATATGTCATATTCTGCATCTGGAGCTTAATACATGTGTGAAATGGAATTTGTTTTGTGTTCCAGTTCACTTAGGGGAGGGATATTAAGCAGAGGGAGGGTATCTGCTTTGTTCCTTTCAGAGTGAAATGTTAGGAATTTAGATTTTAAGAAAACATCTTTATCACTTTTTAAGAAGAACCTCCCCCCACATAATCCTGTTGTCATCTTCTTGAGTGAACTGTTTAAGGATCATGTGGCAAGTAATGTTCTTTGACATTCTTTTTCTTCCTCTTTTTAGTTAGATTTTGGATCCAACTTAGGTTCTCCAGGTGGAGAATCTCTATTCATCCCATCACTCATCCATCTCTCCATTTAACTATTTGTGTCCGACCCAGTTCAAATGCTCCTTTGAGGTTCGTCATGAAAGACTTTTGATTTTTGTTTTTTGGGTTTTTTGGTTTTTTTTTTTTTTTAGTTGGAGTCTCACTCTGTTGCCCAGGCTGGAGGGCAGTGGCACGCCCATTCATGTCCATCGTACCCTTGACCTACTGGGCTCAGGCAATACTTCTGCTTCCGTCTTCTGAGTAGCTGGAATTACAGGTGTGTGCCACCACGCCTGGCTAATTTTTTGATTTATTGTAGAGATGGGGTCTTGCCAAGTTGCCTGGGTGGGTCTCGAATTCCTGGGCTCAGGCAATCCTCTCACCTCTGCCTCCCAAAGTGCTGGGATTACTTACGGTGCCCAGCTTGAAAGACTTTCAAGTGTTGTTCAGTAGAACTTTCTGTGATGATGGAAGTATGTCTATGCTATCTAGTACAATGGCCACTGTTCACAGGTCAATGTCAGGCACTTGAAATGTTACTAGAGCAATTGAGGAACTGAATTTTTAGTCTTAATTAATTTAATTAAATTTAATTAGCGATGTGTCTAATGGCTACCATATTGAACACCACAGGACTAATATGTAGGTAGGGAGAGAGGTATAGTCTGAAGTAATTGCAGTCCATGTAAATTACCATTTATTGTTGGATTATCTTAATGTATAAAGATTAAATATTGAATTACATTTTTTTCAATTTATAGCCCCACTGGAAAAAGGAGCAACAACTTCTATGATTCAACTCATTCGAGACATATATAACAAAGAAGGAAAAAGGGGGTTTTTCAGGGGTATCACCCCAAATATCATAAAGGTGCTTCCTGCAGTAGGCATTGGCTGTGTGGCTTATGAAAAAGTGAAGCCACTGTTGTGATTAACATAGAAGTGAAATATCAAATTACTGTTATTGGCATCACTACTTAATTGTAAGATAATACTGGGGTTATAAAGAGATCTTATATTTTCCTGAAAGGAAATAAATAAATAATTATTAAAAGATTTTCTCTTTATTTTATCTCTTACAAAATATATAAATTAAATAATTTTGGTAAATTTGTTTTATGATTTAAAAATTCTACTTATATTGCCTGCTATTCTTCCTTGAATCCTACCTAAATTTTGTTTATTGGCTCTGACTATACCCTAGAATAACATTATAAAACATTTGGTAAGTTATAGGAGTTTATGTTAGCCTTTTTGTATTTAAAAACTTTAATAAAAAGCTGATCTTGAAAATGTTTTATACACTAAAAAAAAATCAAGGCATTTAAAACCAATTTATAGTAAATAATAAGAGTTTCTGTTTCTCTTATTTAAGCACAGATAATTGTTTTCATAATTCCTTCTATCATATTGTAGATGGAATAATGGTAACATATTTCTTATTTTTCTTATTTTTTTTTTTTTGAGTTGGAGTCTCACTCTTTTGCCCTGACTGTAGTGCAGTGACACACTCATGGCCACCATAGCCTCGACCTGCTGGGCTCAGGCAATCCTTCCACCTCAGCCTTCCAAGTAGCTGGAACTACAGGTGTGAGCCACCATGCCTGGCTAATTTTTTTTTGATTTATTGTAGAGATGAGGTCTTGCCAAGTTGCCCAGGCTGGTCTAGAACACCTGGGCTCAGGCAATCTTCTCGCCTTGGCCTCCCAAAGTGCTGGGATTACAGACTTGAGCTACTGTGCCCAGCCCATGTTTCTTATTTTTTTAGGTACTTATTTGTAAATATAAACACTGTTAATTCATTTTGATTCTTGATATTTTCAGCTTGTATAAGGAAGTTGACAACGAGAACAAACAGCATTGGACAAATTTTCTTCTGTCTTCTCGTTGAAAATACTTTAAAAAATTAAATCCATTATCTCATACTTGTTGAAGCAACTATTATTTCAACTTAAGATCTGAGTCAACCACTTGATAACCTAAATATCTGCCCCTCAATTTTATGAAAAAAAACCAAATTATATTCTCTGTGGAGTTAAATAACAGTGTGGTGAGACAGCAGTAATGGGTGGTTGGCCACCAGCAGGCCTCACATGAAGGACTACTTCGCTCAACTGACTGAAGTCCAGGGCTGGGTCCTCAACCTTGTGGATCCAAAAATTTAACTTTATTAATGTTCTCAAAATGATCAATTTCTTGGTCCTAAATTAACAAAAATTACAAGATTGAGATATTGATCACAATGCAAATTCATTAGTTTATAGTGAAACTGAATACTTTCTGTGCACCAGAGCACTTCCATCCCTTCTCCAGGACACGCTGTTTCCTGGGTCACTGGATGGGTAACGAGAAGGTGGAGGTGGAATCAGAATAAAGAGAGGAAGATGTTTTTGAGGAGTGTTTCAGGCACATCCCATGAAGGTGGGAAGAGCTGAGAACCATGTGTACGAGAGAGAGGAGCTGAAGGAGGAGAGTGAGAATATCGTGGCGCTTGAGTTAAATGAAGCCACAGACCACCAGGAGGGAGGAAGGAAAGTCCCACGTGAACCGGGGAGTGGGTGTGTAGGAAGCTCGAGTCCTGGTGGAAGTTGTACAGATAGACTTCTAAAAGCATTCCAGGTTGATGAAACAGCTTGAACAGTAACGTGAAAATAGAGACACTTGTGGGACATCTGAGAGATTGCAAGTAACCCAATCATTTTAAAACACATGGTATATAGGAAGATATGGCAAGGCTTGAGGCTACTGCTGTAGGCTGGTGAGGGGCTTTGAATTTTATGTGATATTGACCTGCTGTAGTGCAAATGAACTTACACAATGACAGTGAAGCCATTGGAAAAGGAGATGGTGGAGCCAGGGAGGCCAATTAGGAGAGCATTATCATAGATCTAGTGTAAAATGCTGGCTTCTACATAAAGCCTTCTTTTTAGAGTAGGGAAGCCTCTAGGCTTTTCAATTTTTATATCAGAGGTCAAAGTCCAATTTGCTTTGAAAATTAGAAAATTAAAATTCACTTCGTTAAGTGCCTCATATGTGCCAGGTGTTCTTCCAAAGTACTTTTAGAGGTTCTTTCGCTTAATCCTAACCAGTCTACTAGAAGGTGAGATTATTAACCTGATTTTCAAATGAGGAAACTGAGTTTAGAGTGTTCAGCTTGAACAGGCACCTAATACTTTCCCCTTTATTAAGGGTTGTGCTCATGTCTCACCTTCAGGATCTCTGTTTTGCATGAAGGCCTGCTATCAGCCTTAATCTTGGCCATGGCTTGGGTATGTTGTAAAACCTCTTAAAGTGAAGAGGTAGTCCATTGTCCTTAGAGTGTGTTCTCTCAGTTCTCTTAGATTGAGTCTAAGCCTGACTGATACTTTTCTAGTTCTTAAATACTCAGGATGCTTGAGGGATAACTTTTATGTAAAAATAGTTATCACAATGTAACGTGGACACTGAAACCTGGAATTTAGGATGAATCATGAAGAAATGCCAGAGATCCTTTCTAAGTGTCACAGAAGAAAATAACTGGACAATATTACAAGGTCTGCGGTGTCAGAAGTTGAGTTTAACACAGTGGCTTCCTTCTGCATGGTTTTTCAGATACCGTAGGAGCTTAGATCAGTCGCTTCATCAGTCCTTTCAGGCCTGTGATACCAACTACTGAAAGTCTGTATCATTGTCTCTAGAGAGTTAATAGCATGTTATAGGATATGATTACGATTATTGGCTAGTTTATAGACTAGTTACAGAAAAGACACAGTAAGATGAATTAGGACTAGAGCAGGAGTGACCTGAAAATGCTTAGGGTTAAGTGCCTCTTGACAATTCTGACTCCAAGAAATCTCTGGACTTCACCCAGGAAGATAAAGAACCCTCTGGACAAGCACAGAGGCTTTCAGGAATCCATTTACAGTCCATGGCAGCCAAACAGTAAGCCTTGAGATCTCCAAATCCTGCAGGGGAGTGCCCGCTTCTCCAGCCTCATGCAGAGCCTGTGTTCCTGAAGGCACTGCAGGATGGCATCACATTCCCACTCTGCTCAGACTGCATGTTTAGAAAGTTTGTTAAGCCGGGCTCGGTGGCTCAGCCTGTAATCCTGCGCCTTTGGGAGGCTGAGGTGAGTGGATTGCCTGAGCCCGCGGGTTCGAGACCCGCCTGGGCAGGCGAGACCTCATCTCTACAATAAATCAAAAAATTAGCCGGGCGTGGTGACACGTGCCTGTAATTCTGGCTACTCGGAAAGCTAAGGCGGAAGGATCGCCGGAGCCCAGCAGGTCGAGACTGCGGTGGCCGGGAGTGGCCACTGCACTCCAGTCTGGGCGACAGAGTGAGACTCCAACTCAAAAAAAAAAAAAAAAAAAGGAAGTTTGTTAATCCAGGTACTTTGGAGAGATCAGTTGAGAAAGTCACAGCATGTTAATCATCACATGCTTAAGGGGGTTATGCACTCTTGCAGAAACCTAAAAGTGACCATAGGTTCTTGTCTATGTTTAAATTTTATGCTGCTATAACAAATACACAAGCTGGGTAATTTATAATGAAAAGAGATTTATGTGGCTCAATGAGGGTTCTGGGGGCTGGGAAGTTCCAGATCGAGGGACTGCATGTGCCCAGAGCCCTCTTGCTACATTATAACACGGGAGAGAGAGAGAGGGAGCGGAGGGGGAGCGGGGGTGGGGGAGAGAGGGCAGGGGTGGGGGGGGCAGACTCCCGCTTTGATAAGGAATCCAATTCTGTGGTCATGGCATTGATACGTTCCTTAGGGCAGAGCCCCCATGACCAAGTCAACTCTTAGAGGCCCCACCTCACAACACTGTTGCCGTTGGGATTCAGTTTCTAACACACAAGTCAGGAGGACATTCAAACCACAGTTGTTCTCATTTAAGAAAACTAGACAATTTCTCTTCCTCCATCAGGTTTGACAATTTATCTCAAAGCCATTCTTCATTTTTAAGCTACAGCACCCTCTAATGAGCTGTTAGCAACATTACCTTGTGACCATTTTTCCATTTCCTTCAGAAGTAAAATATCACTTTGAAAATATGCTAAAGAGATGGACTCTTTGCACGTCAACTCGGTCTCAAACTATTTGAAACTTATTCTAAATATGCCAGTACAGCCACACTCCTACAGAGATACATGATCATGAGTTTGGAGATACTACAGATCTATAATCAAACTTTAATGTAAAGAATATTCAGTGGAGTATATGTGACAAAAAGTCATAGAAGAAACAAAAGAGGAAAAAGTTCTATTTAAAAGATGAATGATACGTACTTTATAATAAGAAGGTGCACTTGAAATTTTTCTCTGCACAGTGTTTTAATTATTAAAATGGATGTTAGGAGAATGCTTCTAGTTTTATAGATTCTTAGGTTTATTGTTATATAAATATGACCAAGATTTCTTCTAACTATAATACCCTTTAGGAATGATTTTTTTCTCTCCCCCTGGACTAGACCGTATGCTCTATGAGGGATGAGACTTTCGTTGATTCTCTTTATTGCTGCTTCCCCCATATGGAGATCTGTATATGACATAGTAGGCAGTAGTAGACTCAGTTCGTGTTTAACGGTTGAAGGAATAAAGTATGTGAGAAGAGCTCTCTCTTCACACTTGCTCTGTACCTCGTAGAGCACAAAAGAGTTTCTTATAGAGCCACTTGTGATTAACCCTTTTGTTTCAAACTTGATTATAGCGATTTCTTCTGGAACATTGATCATCACTCTTTCAATATGATAGCTAACTCCCTAGTGCTTGGGTCTCTTCTAGTAAAGCTTTATATCTAATATAGTTGGGGGAAGTTATTTATATAAGATAATTAATGGAACTGTGTTTTTTTTTCTTTAGAAATAATTCTGTAGAAATTTTAAATTACTGTGTTAGCAATTTCCCTGTTTTCTCAAGCAAAGAGTGTGGGTAATAAGTTACCTTCTCTAGGAGTCATGCTTCCTTTTTGTTTGT